GAAAGAAAGAAAGAAAGAAAGAAAGAAAGAAAGAAAGAAAGAAAGAAAGAAAGAAAATTATTGCTTAACTGAAACTATAATTGCGATCTTGAACTAATGAAGATAACAATGTACTCAATATGACTGATTTTAAAGATAGAAGGTCAACAGCAATTTTGGAATGAGAACTAGGAGAGGCTGAACAAGACAAAAAAGAAAAAAGATTAAAAGATATTTGGAATTAAATGAGAGGAAATATTATATAGGGGAAGTTTCAGCAAATTTAATATTTGAGTGCAGAGTGTACTGGTTATTTGGAGGCTGTACTATATATGATAAGTTTGTGTATGAGGTCTTTCCATATCTATCCTTCACAAACCAGCCTTATCCCTGCTGGTTATCTAAGTCAGAGCTTCTCATTCTTGGCGCCATTGACATATTGGGCCAGATAACTTGTCAGAGTTGGAGTTTGAGGGCTGTAATGTGCAATGTTGTTTATTTAGCAGAATGTCAGTAACAGTTTCCAGTTGTGACCACCAAAAATGTCTCCAGGCATTGTCAAATGTCTCCTAGGAGGTGAAATTGCCTCCAATCCTTATTCAAATAGTGTCCTCCATGAATCAGGATAGACACTGATTACTACACTACTTTGCCAAAAGTTCCCCACTTCTTCATGTGTATTAGTTTCTAATGATAGGTAATATTTACAATTAAACAATTATTCTCCATGCCACTGTTTTATAATGTGTTTTTCTCCCTCTTTATTACTGGCATCAATCGTTTTAGTAAGTATCTTTCTGTACTAGCAATAAAGTGGTGTTCGAAGGTGTCAAGTACACTGATATTTGAACATATCTATTCAGGGGTCTGTTTTCCAAGAATCCCAGTTATATGAGGGATAAGTGAAAAAATTAATAGAAATCAGCTGGTTCAGTTAGGGAGAAATCACATTAATGTAACATAAAAACTAGAAATATAACTCTTCATTTTTATTATGTACACGTATAGTCTGAATTTTACAAGTATTCTTTTTAAATGTTCTGTTACAAAGCGTTAGAGAAGGCTGCTGTTTTATTCATTTCCAAATGTTGATACTTCAACTCAAAGTTCATGAATCATAATTCCATCCATGCTTTTAGGTTTCTAGAGGAGAAGCCATATAGCATAGTGATGGAAGAAGGTCATCACAGGGAAAAATTCCCAAAGGGAAGAGCAAACTTCATGACCTTCATTATATCCTGTGTATCTGAGGGATACTGGATCTGGCACAAATTACATCCTCAATTAATAAATAGAGTCTCTGTAGATAGATAGTAACTCTGGGATTATTTTTATCATTTATTCATAATATTCATTTCTTCTGCTGACATGAATCTATTTCCCTCAAAGCTTAATATCACATCATCAAACAAAATAAAAGGCACACAAAGCTCTCTTATTCTTCAATGCAAAGAATTCCTAGTTTTGAATTGAAAACTTAAATTTAAGTAAATGAAAATGTGCTATGAACTCAGTCTTATCTACATTTTACATTGAAGCTGGTCTGTAGTTAAGTGCTTAGTGTTGGGGAGTGGGATGTCAATCTGTCAATCCCTAATAAATAATTCACTAGAGAAGCACAGAAATAAACACATCTAAATCTCTTCTATGTGAATTAAAGGAAGGAGTTAAGGGGAAATAAATGAATTATAATGCTAACAAAATGACTCTCTATTAGTTTAACATGAGAGGTATAATTAGCAGATTCAGAAAACACACAAAGATTAGGGTTAGGGTTAGGGTTAGGGTTAGGGTTAAGGGTTAGGAGTTAGGGGTTAGGGTTAGGGTTAGGAAAAAAAAGAAAAAAGAAAAAGAGAAAAAAAAAGAAAACACACAAAGAGGCAAAGGAGATAACAGTTTTGTTTTATAGTTTTGTTTCCATCAGTCCCCATTCCAGATCTTTCTGCCATGTCTACTTTCATTTTGAAAGGTGTAAGTAGAGACTAGCTATCAAATCTGCTCTTTAACTGGCAGCTCCTACTGGAATAAGAGAAGTCTCATGTAGCAACAAGACTACGCTCACTGAACTCATAAAATTTATCTCCAGGATGTGTTACAATCTTGAGTTTTGTCACCAATACTGTCGGCTGACTACCAGCTGAGTATGAGTTGAAGAAGCATGTATAAATGAATCCTTGGTTTCCTTCATTAACTCTGGGGAGAAGAGATAAAGGACAAAATAGACAACCTATTTTCCAGACCCAGAAGACAGTTTGCCAATCATGCACTGGGCCATGATTGAAACCTAACAGTATTTCATGATGGGTAAAGTCTTTTTACAAGCAAAATGAGAAATAGTGATTGACTGTTTAAAAAATAATTGGAATAATAATAATAATGACTGGGAAAAACAATGAAAAGATATTGAATGATGAAGTGTGGAGATTAATGTCTCTATTGACTGACATGTATGGCATTCCCTTTTGAAAAAGCAGTGTAATAAACTGTAAAGTTATATGCAATTCAATGTAATATAAACAAGATTATGATGATAACAAAAAATAAATAAAAAGAAAAAAAGAAAAAGGGAAAAAAAAAAAAAAAGCCTAACAGTATTTACTTTGCTGACTTGAGAATGATCACGTTTATATGCTGGGCCACATCCTCATACTCATAGTGAATGTATCTTCCAGTCTTACTTGTTTCCCTAAACACACAGAGCCAGAGCCTGTCCAGGGTAGACACTCAATGAAGAATTCATGAAAACATGTGTTATAGTAGATCGTTATTACGTCTCAAATTCCAGTGTGATCTGCCAGATTATTCAAGGTAGGTCTGAGCAGATTCATTTCCATTTATTGCTTTTGTTTCTTTGCCATAAAGAGGCAGAGAGAAAAATCATAATGAGAGCTTAAGAACACACATGAAAGGAGGAAGTGAGAGCAGTGTTACCACCCCTGCACATGCTTCCCATTTTAGAACAACAATCCTCAGACTATAAAAAAATATAATTTCCCTTTCACTTTTCTTTACATAAAATATATCTGCTGACTAACTTCCTCATGGCAGTCTTTACTTCTTTGTTTCGCAATGTGTAGATGATCGGATTAAGTAAAGGGAATATCACAGTATGGAACACAGACACCACTTTATCTAAGGAGAAGGAGTCAAAGGGGCGAGCATAAATGTAGATGGATGGGCCAAACATTAGCACCACAATGGTGATGTGGGAATAGCAGGTGGACACAGCCCTGCTGGTACTCTCACCGGAGCCTGAGTGTTTCTTGAGCATGACCAGAAGGAAGGCATATGACATCAGCAGAGCAATGAAACACACCACGGAGATCAGACCGCTGCTGAAGATCATGACTAACTCCTCTGGAAAGGTGTTGGCACAGGCAATCCGGACCACCTGCGTGATGTCACAGAAGTAGTTGTCTAACTCATTGGGCCCACAGAAAGGAAGCCGAATAATGAGAGCCACTTGTATTATAGAATGGATGAAGCCCCCCATCCAAGAGACAGCTACCAGGATACAGCAGAGACGTCGGTTCATGATTGTGGCATAGTGGAGGGGGCGGCAGATAGCAGCATAGCGGTCAAAGGCCATCACCGTGAGTAGGAACATCTCCGAGGCCCCCACAAAGTGCAAGAAGAAGAGCTGTGCAATGCACCCACCAAAGGAGATTATCTTCCTCTCCACAAAGAAGTCCACAAGCATTTTAGGGGCTGTGATGGAGGAGTACCAAATATCAAGAAAGGCCAGATTAGCCAACAGGAAATACATGGGAGACGTCAGATGGGGGTCAAGCCTGATGGTGCAAATGATAAGAATATTCCCTGGAAGGATGAACAAATAGAAAGATAGAAATACAACGAATAGAACCAGTTGCACCTCCCGAGTCTGGGATAGGCCAGTGAGAACAAATTCTGTCACCCTGGCATAATTTTCAGGTTCCATTTCTTCTATTAACTTTTTTCATATTAGGGCTATGAAAAATAAAAAAAATAGTTATAATTATTCCAAATAATATTTAACTGGCATTGCATGACTGCTTTAAAAATTGTCTCATTAAGAGATTGCATTAGGATGCATTTGTATTTGATAAACTAAGATAGGGTGAAACTATTATGATAACCTTGTAATAGAAACATTGAAATTATACAAGGTGTGTCATAGATCTGAAACCCAACTCTCAGCTTATTAATGTTATAAAGTCTTGTTATTTATGAAACTCAGCAATCCACAATTTTCCCCAAACATCTACCTTAGTAAGCAATGTATTCAGCTACTTCTTTTTAGAATTATTTAGTTTTTATTATCATTATTTTTTTCACATGTGCTCATAAGGGAGTAACAGAGTGATAAAGAGGAAAAATGAGAAAGCAAGCCACTAGGTCTGGGACTCGAACTGTGGTTGGCCATTTGGGAAGTCCAGTGCTTCAAACACCATGTCACCTGCTGGTCCACAGTTACTTCTTGACTGAGAAAAATACTAGACTGGCAGTTGGACATGCTTGCTGTTTCTGAATATTTTTTTTTGGGAAAAAAAATATTTCCCAATCAAACATTCAATCACTGTACATCACCACAGCTTATAAAAAGAATATTTTCTGCAAAAATACACCGGTCAAGCCTGATGGTGCAAATGATAAGAATATTCCCTGGAAGGATGAACAAATAGAAAGATAGAAATACAACGAATAGAACCAGTTGCACCTCCCGAGTCTGGGATAGGCCAGTGAGAACAAATTCTGTCACCCTGGTATAATTTTCAGGTTCCATTTCTTCTATTAACTTTTTTCATATTAGGGCTATGAAAAATAAAAAAAATAGTTATAATTATTCCAAATAATATTTAACTGGCATTGCATGACTGCTTTAAAAATTGTCTCATTAAGAGATTGCATTAGGATGCATTTGTATTTGATAAACTAAGATAGGGTGAAACTATTATGATAACCTTGTAATAGAAACATTGAAATTATACAAGGTGTGTCATAGATCTGAAACCCAACTCTCAGCTTATTAATGTTATAAAGTCTTGTTATTTATGAAACTCAGCAATCCACAATTTTCCCCAAACATCTACCTTAGTAAGCAATGTATTCAGCTACTTCTTTTTAGAATTATTTAGTTTTTATTATCATTATTTTTTTCACATGTGCTCATAAGGGAGTAACAGAGTGATAAAGAGGAAAAATGAGAAAGCAAGCCACTAGGTCTGGGACTCGAACTGTGGTTGGCCATTTGGGAAGTCCAGTGCTTCAAACACCATGTCACCTGCTGGTCCACAGTTACTTCTTGACTGAGAAAAATACTAGACTGGCAGTTGGACATGCTTGCTGTTTCTGAATATTTTTTTTTGGGAAAAAAAATATTTCCCAATCAAACATTCAATCACTGTACATCACCACAGCTTATAAAAAGAATATTTTCTGCAAAAATACACTACACACCAGTTCAGTTAAAGATATTACCATACATGGTACCAACAATAGAGAAATGGATATACTTGTCACCCAAAGTTGACCCTGTACTGATCCACTCTGCCATTTCAAGGTGACGATGGGAATAAGAATATTTGTAAAATTTTGCTTAACACCTAGTATTGAACTTGACACTACTAGATGGAACAAAACCTGTCAAATAAAAGTGAGATCAAATAAAAGTGAGATAATCATTTACTTTACCAAATATGTTTCCACTTTAAAGCTAAAATTGCCATACCAGGCTGGCTTGGTGGCACATGGGTAGCAGGCTGTCCGAGCAATGCTGGATCTCCATGGGAGGTGGGAAGTGATAGATTTAGTTCCCAGGTAGACCTATAAACACCAGGTGTGTCTACCTATGACCCTGGCTGGCTGGAAGGCTAAGGGTTGGAGGCCACTGAGTAACACCTGTTGAGGATTCTTGTCTGTCTCTTTTTCTCATAAAATAAACAGACTTAAAAATAAAACTTCCACACTAAAGTAAAAATTCATTGTAACCAACAACTAATACAAGATAATTGCTTCTGTAATTAAGGTTAAGTAGTTAAGGTTCTAAAAGCCAAGTAGACATGTCAGTGTCCAGAAATTTATGAATACTACGTACACTATTGATTAAATAAAGCCAATGCTTTTCATTTGGAACCTAGTGATAAGATGTGTAAATAATTTTAACAAACCTACACATAAAACATATGACTTTCACTGTGTTATAAGTGCATTGTCTTAAGAGGAAGAGCAGACTTACTCAAGTAGAATCACTGAGGACAAAAACGGTATTTCCCAGGAATCTGACAGCAGAAGCAAAAGGATAAAAGCCCTCAGAAAGCTCCATAGCTTGAGACCACTTAACAAAGCAGCAAATATCCTCGTGCTCATGAACTGCCCATTGAGAACTTCAGTAAGCTAAATGATCTCATTTAGTAAAACAGGAAAAGTGTAAATGTGATTTGGAAAGACTTTAACCAAAAGAAAGATAATTCTGCCCCTTTTGTGATCTTGAAATTCTTAAAAACTTGCTAATCCAAAAGACATTGTTTCCTAAGATTTGAGAAAGCAATATTTTACTATTTACTCAGAAGAAGCAGCCTATAGTCTTTATAACTAACAACATAGTAAGTATGAATTGTAAATTTCAGCACTAACTAATTTATGCTCACTGATGAGTAAACTAAGGTTTTTTTGGAGGGGAACCCTTTACCAAAAACATCTGGATCATTATGGTTACTTAGATGATTCAGAAATTTTGCTATTGTGCTAGGCCAGTTTTGATAAATGAGAGTGATTAGGTTATCTATTCTTAAATAATAATCCTTTTATTATTTAAAGATGTCTATTTCAAAGCACTACATGCTTTTATGATCCAATGTTTTTTTACACTTTTCATGGAATATAGTAATATGATTCTTCTTATTATTGTCACACAAGCCCTCTCTTCCTATGTCCTATTCTATGCCCATTCCATTGAAGAGAAAGTAAAAAATGAAACTAGGAAAGAATTTAAGCGAATGAGTGTTGCCCTGGGAAGACATTTTTTCTATTATAAAATAGAAAGGTTCATTGTACAAGGAAAAAAAATTCAAAGAGATCTCCTTTTGTATTTCAACATTTAATATATGACATAAAATTAGAAACCAAGGGTAAGTACTTTGTCTTAGGAACCAAAATTAACCTAATTTGTTCCTCAGGAAAGAAATACAGAACATTCAGCCTTCCTCACTCCTTAATGAATTTTCCTCTCTGATCTTCAGAGCCATCAAGTTGAAAAGAGATACTCTACTGGAACATCTCTGTCCCATAGGCAGCAAGCAAATCCCCTTTGCCTCAAGCTAGCAATGCTCAGGCACTACTCACACCCGCCGCCACACACACACACACACACACACACACACACACACACAAACGTCACTTCCTCAGTGAAAGACTAACAGATAGGTTCCCCACATTAACAATACCATAGCCTAAAATATCATAGAAACACACAATTCTGGCAATGGACAGCATTTGTTATTTAACACTTGTCAAAACAAAGCACCACACATGCTGTTAAAAGCTCTATTCCAAGTATATAGCTTATGTGTCACTTATATAAATATTAATTTGGGACCAGCAGTTGGCATAAGGGCTATGTTGCTGGACTCCCATGTAGTTGACCGTGATTGGAGTCCCAGACACGTGGTTTAAACTCATGCCAGGCACATGTGCATGCGTGCCCAAGATCCTGAGAGGAGAATGGAGAAGAAAGGATTGCGGTGTGGCCACCCCTCTGGGGGGTGATTTCTCGCTTTCTGTCTCTGTCTCTCTGTGTCTTACTGGCGAGCACATGTGCCCTATAGCAAAAGCCCCTGCAAATAAATGAATAAATAATTTTTTTTATGGACCAGCAGGTGGTGTGGAGGTTAGGGCAGTTGGAACCCACATAGCTAACTCCATGGTTCAAATCCTAGACCTGGCAGCTTGAAAATCACATTGGGCTCATGGGCATGTGTGCCCAAAATCCAGAGAAGAGAATGGAGGGGAAGGGATTATAGCATGGCCATCTCTCCTGGAGGCAATTTCTCACTTTCCCTCTGTCTGTCTCCATCTCTCTCCTGCAAGCACAGGTACCCTATAGCAAAAACTTAAAAAAAAAAAAAAGTCATTTGTTTGTTCAACTCATATTTAGAGAGTACTTACTATATGATAACCACTGAAACTGCAACAAGGAAGCCAATGTCTGTCTCATCAAACTTTCACTCTAGAAATATGGACACAAAATAAGCATCAAACAAATAAGAGAGAAATAAAAAGGGGGTTGTGATGGAGAGTGAATGGTGGTGGTGGATGCAGCGATGGGGTTTTAGAAAAGCTTCTCTGAATTAGTGACTTTTCAATGAACGTAGAAAGGCAGAAAAAAAAAACATTTCAGGAATAAAAAGCAGCAAATGCAGAAGCTGAGCAGCAGGGAGGATTTTTCTAGGAGCTGTGGAAGACCTGCTACTGCTAGATGCGCAAGAACAGAAGAGATGAACAAAGACAAAATAATGCAGCCAAAACAAACAAAAAATACTTAATAGCATCCAATATATTTGTAAACAAAATCCAGGGAATAGCTTAGTAAGATTTGAAGTTAAGAAATATCACACTGGCTGTTATGTGAATAAATTGAACTGAAACAAGATTATAGGGGGAAAATTATGGTTTATACTAAAGATATAGCAATACCTCTTTAGAAAAATAAGTAGTTTAGGACCAGCACATAATGGTTACATTGCTGAACTCCCATGTAGTCAATGATGGTTCAAGTCCCACTTCCTGTGGCTTAAAACTCACGCCAGTCACGTGTACATGTGTGCTCAAAATCCCAAGAAGAGAATAAGAGGAGAAGGGATTGCAGTCTGGCCATCCCCCCCTGGCGGAGGGGATGATTTCTTGCTTTCTGTCTTTCTCTGTCTCTCTGGAGAGAGCATACACCCTATAGCAAAAAATCTC